CTCAAAAGAAATTTCAATCATTGTACTGTTGCTATTTGGTTCTGTTGACTAATGAGTCTGCCAACCACTGGCCTAAGACATACTGATATTGCCCACATTATAGGATCTAGCTCTACTCATCCCATGAAAAAGAAAAGAAGGGGACAAATACAGCTACCTGCCTAGTTACACCTTTATCTATTTATTTTTTATTTTAAAATATATTTTTACTGATTTCAGAGAGGAAGGGAGAGGGAGAGATAACAGTAAACATCAATGATGAGAAAGAATCATCGGTAGGCTGCACGCTCCACACTGGGGATCAATTCCGAAATCCAGGCATGTGCCTGACTGGGAATTGAACCATGACCTCCTGGGTTCACAGGCTGATGCTTACCCATTGAGCTACATTGGCCTGGCCCAAATTACACCTTTAAAGAGGGTTACAAAGAAAACAGTTGCCAGGCCCATGGCACTGACCGGGAGGTCAACAGGGCATTCGAGAAAGAAGGAAGCTTCAATTATGGAGAGGCTTTGAGAGAAGTCCATGCAGTTCTTATCCTATTTACTTCATTTCTGCATCAACACATAGGGTCCTCAAGTATTTCTGGGCCAAAATTCTGACCTTGGTTTCTCTCTCTTTTGTTTTACTCTATGCATGGGTCTCAAGGAGGGCACTACCCGTCTTTGGGTGGGACCACTCATGCTCATGTGAGACTGCTGAACCAACTGCAGGGAGCCTGCTACCTCTGGCCCCCACTGACTAATGCCAGTAGGACCACCAAGTCACTGGAGCAACCCAATATGCATTTCCCAGTGCCCATAAGGAGTAAATGCAGCCACCGCCACTTAAAAACCAGTGCTGCAAGCTCTAGCATCTCATGGAGAGCCACCCCTATGACTCAAACCCTACACCTCTAGTCAAGATTTTTCTCTAACCTCCTTCCCCTCAGGCTTCACAATCACTTCAAACCTGCCCCAAATTGAATTTCTCATCTCTCTCACGAAGCCCAACCTGTCTCTCTTCTGGCCCATACAACCACCATCCACAGTCAGCAAGAAACCTGGCAGGCAGGCAAAACTCCTCCCCTTTTCTCATCAAGTCCTCAGAATTCTACGCTCTCAACATCCCTCAAGTCCTTTCTTTCCAACTCCTATCGGTTCCCATCATCTCTGGCTGCGTTTCTGGAATGGCCTCTGATCTTTCACCATCTTCAGAGCCTCTCTTACGCCTCCCGTTTGACAGTTACCCTCCAGTCCACCACCTCAGTGCCCTGTTAGTGCCGCCATGTTTCCACACAGCCTCAGCAGGACACCCAGAGGCCTTCGCCGTCCTCAGCTCTGATTCCCACCAGGGCCCTTAAGCCCATAACCTCCAGCCAGAGCCAATGGACCTGCTGATTTCGGGAGATGTGCCCTGCATTGGGATGCTTCTGCACAGATGCTGGGAATGTCCCACTGGCCACCACTGGCCACTGGGGACCAACAACCACAGGGCAGATGCCATCAGCTAATATGCCCTAGAACCCAAGCACCTTGTAGAAAGGGAGGTTCCATAGTATTGACTGAAAGGAGCAATTTTAAAAAAATGTATTTTATTGATTTAAAGAAGAAGGGAGAGGGAGAGAGATAGAAACATCAATGATGAGAGAGAATCATTGATTGGCTGCCTCCTGGATGCTCCCTACTGGGGTTCTAGCCTGCAACTCAGGCATGTGCCCTTGGCTGGAATCGAACCTGGAACCCTTCAGTCCACAGGCTGGCAGTCTATCCATTGAGCCAAACCAGCTAGGGCAAGGAGCAATTCTTTATAAAAATAAAAATAAAAAAATTTTTTGGGACCTGTCACTGATACACATACACACACACACACACACACACACACACACACCAGAATCAGAATTATCTTGTCCTTATTGTCTCCATAAAAGGGCTTCTTGGCGTTATTTATGGCCAATAAAGAGCCTGAACTACCATAAAGGGGATCTGATGCCACACTGTTGATTATTGAGCATGTTATGACCTTAACCGACACTAAATATCCTAGCGCCTAGAGCTACCATTTCTCATTAGGTAAAAGGAACATAGCACTTAACGAGCCATGCTTAATCAGTAATACCCCATCCAGGCACTGACCATTTGTTTTACTCAAGATTCTGTTTGACATTTCTTAGGACTGGAAACTCTGTTGTGGGCAGCACATTAAATAGTTATCACTTGAGAGTCATTCTTGGAGACTGAACGCTGGAAATTCAACCAATAGGCATTACATAATAAATGGGCTTTGCCAACATTCTGAGCACTTTAAATTTTTAAAAGGCTGTATCTGAGTGTTTCAGATACGTAAATGGCTTTTCAAACTGAATTAAATAAACGTGTGCACTATGTTATTATAAAACAGACATAAGATTATCATGAAGAAGCAGATTCTTGTTGAAATATAACAGAAATTAAATATCACACAGGCAGCTATCCAAATTACAACATTACATTTCAAGTAAAATACAAAACAAAAATGCAAAGAAAAGAATATTTCTTTATTTACTTTTTAATGGAGGATGAAAAGTTTCTGAGTTTGCTTTTAATTAAAAAAAGAAAGAAAAAATGGTCCAGAATAGCCCCTTTCCTACAAGCTACCACAGAAATGAAAATTTGCTTAATAAAAGCATAAAATATTTAAATTTTATGTGATTAAAATTAAAGTAAAATGTAAATCTATTAATTTAAATGAAATGACTTGTTTCATCCAGGGTCAACCAATTGTGAATTTTTGAATACATTTTTTATAGTTAAGAAATGATCTGGCCTGGCCAGTGTGCTCAATGGTTACGCACTGGTCCATGAACCAGGAAGTCACGGTTTGATTCCCAGTCAGGGCACATGCCTGGGTTGAGGGCCCAATTCCGGGGAGGGGGGGAGGGAGGGAGGATCGTTCAGGAGGCAACTGATTGATGTTTTTCTCTCATCTACATTTCCATCTCTCTATCCCTCTCCCTTCCTCTAAAAATGCAACAAAAATATATTTTTTAAAAATGATCTGGAGAAGTAGCAACCTGATTGAGGTTAACCAATCACCAAAAGAAGTGACTGCCGGAACCCAGGCCCCTTCTGAACCATGCCGACACACAGGCAGTACTGTCAAGGCCCAAAGGTTTAAGGAAGCATCCTCAGGTCAAGAGACCTGTTGTTACTTAATAACCAGAATTTACCAAAAGCTTTTTCTGGAATCATTAAGACACTGCGAGAAGCTGACCAATGGTCACATGATTCAAGGCACAATTCCACACTGGAGTAAAACCATGCCATGAGGGTTTTCGGAAAACATTTCTATTTTAAAATCATGACTTGCAGTTTACAGTTATCAAAACAGTAATAATTCTTCATAGTGATGTAGCTGATTTGAAAGCTTTGTTTTCCTTCAATGAAGTACAAGTTATAATGGAAGAGGCTCACTTTGAAATCTAAATACCTTTGGAAGAGGAGCACACCATGTAAGGGAGAAAATAAAGCTTCATTTCTTTTACCCCAAACTGGCAAGACAACCCTAGCTGGTATGGCTCAGTTGGTCCCATGCAACAAGGTTGCTGGTTTGATTCTTGGTCTGGCCTCATGTCCAGGTTGTGGGCTCAATCCCTAGTGGGGGGCGTTCAAGAGGTAGCTGATTAATGCTACTTTCTCACATTGATATTTTTCTTTTTCCCCCCCTCTCTCAATCAAATCAATAAAAATATATATTTAAAAAAAAAACTGGCAAGACTAGTATCAAAAGCACCAATGGGTGGACCATAAGCAACAGAAAAAGCTTCTGAAAGAGGATTTCCCAGCAACCCCCCCACCCCCCCCACACACACACCACAGGCACACGGTTCCCTCAGACCCAGCAGGTCTTCCAAATGTGTATTTTAAGTACCCATGTCAATAACAAGATTGCCAGGATCTTTTCTGGCGCCAGAATCTGTGCCACTATCATGAAACATTTGGAGATCTCAGTGATCGAACCTCAAATTTCATCTCTTTGCAGTAGCCCCACCTCAGGTGCTGATCAGTTTAGCATGGACGTTCAACTTTAGAGCTCAAAACAAAAGTGCACCTTGCACCTAGTGACTGAGCCAGCAGGCATACATGAAGGCACTATCGTGACTGCTTGGCTCCTCTCTGAAGTGACAGAAGAGGAATGTTCGGATTCACAAGGAATATGCACACCAGAGCAGCACCAGTTTTTGTCCATCCTAAAGACTGTCCAACTTGTAGGCTTTCTATTTTCAAAAAACAAAATTAGGTACAAAGCAGCTATTTAAATGGTACCCTTACAAGTAAGAAGGCTTGAAACTTAAGCTTTATTAGTTGTACAGTAAATCCAACTTTGACCGAACCACATAAAATTGCCAATATTCAGTCCATAACCAGCAGCTTCGTATGGTTCGCTTTAGTGACCTTCTGATTGCAGTACAAGCTGTACAGTTTGCTAAGAAGCACATAAAAGCTCAATGCTGGTAGACCGTGTTCCTGCACTCATAAAAAATGATACCGAAAACTCTCCCAGCAGCGCTTCTGAAATGCTAAATACGGAAAACCTATAGAAATCACTATGGTCATTATAAACACATTTCAAAAATAATGTTTTATGTGAACAAACACAAGAACATGAAGATGTAAACAAAATCATTACTGTATTTGCTTGGTATGGTTGTTAGTTCCTTTTTTATCTTTCCCAACTAAGTGCTGTCACATCATTGGCATAATTGAAAAGGAAAAGAGTGAGCAGAATGAGGGAAGAGAAGGAATGACGAGACCTTAGATAACACAGTCTGCTGTGACAATTAATTACACATTTAGCATCTGTCTCTGTGTCAACAGCCTGAAACGTATCTTTAAATTTATTTCAAAGAATAAAGATAAAAGCCAATTGAGTAGATGAGACATTTCATGTCTACAAATGCCCTCCTTTTGAGATAACACAGGTGATTGTTAGTAAGCAATGTGTTGGCATGACCAAAGGCAAATAAATAAAGGGAACTTACTTTTTGCTTGCCTCACAGACGTCTGTAATATTGGAGAAAAGATGGTGGCTCTCTGTTTTGGTCATTGTGTCGCTCAGTTCTTTAGAATTTTTAAACATTCGTATCAGGATCTCCAAGCTGAGCAAATATGAATGTTCAGAGGATATAACTTCAAAGATAGCCTGGTAAGGAAGAAAAAAAAATATATTATTAATTCTATTAACTGAAGAACTAACTATAACTCCCATAATTCTTCTTATAAGGATGAATATAATATCTTGAAAAGTACAAAAAGATATGCATGAAGAAAACTGTATTACACCTGGCCAGTGTGGCTCATGGTTGAGTATCGAGCCATGCACCAAGAGGTCACCAGTTTGATTCCCAGTCAGGACACAAGTCAGCATGCAAGCTCATCCCCAGTTTCTCTCTCGTTGACGTTTCTATCTCTCTCTCTCAAAACATACACACACACAATAAGAACATATTTACAAAAAAATAATAATAAAGAAAACTGTATCACCACACTACTGTCTTTATATAAGGCACTTATACCCAAATCTTGAGAGAGAGAGAGTCACTGCCCATAGGGTAAATAAGAAACAATGAAATCATCGCTTGTATAACGAGATTGCATTCTGAGGTCATACTTGGCCAACGGGTAGGATCTATGTCAGGAAGCTAGGGCATGTGATAAAATCTCCGTGTGACACTAATTAATCTTTGGGGTCATCTCCTGCAGCCCTGCTTTTAAAGCATGTTGCTCTGGGACAATAAAGATGTACGGACATCACTTAGGATTCAGAGAAAAATTTGTTTCACAAATACAGTCCTCTCGGTCTCTTTGGGACCTTTCTCTACCTACGTTTGAATCTGAATCATCTGCAGTCAAGGACAGCAAACATTCTGGGTGTGTTAAGAGAGCATGACTGCACCTACCCTCAAAAGGCTCTTGACCGCCTCAGGAATTCTTTTATATCAACTCATCCATATTGAAAGCAATTCTGTCTGTTCAACAGGCCACCACCTCTGCTCTTGTCAGCGTCTCAAGAAGGAGCGAAGGGCCCTCTGCAGAAACTCTTGGTGGCAGGTATACAGTGGTTTTCCTTATAAGCATTTATTCATGATGAAATGCCAATCCAGTAAGGTGGATGGACATCAGTGCCCTAGGTAAGGAATTCATCTAGCCCCTTAACAAAAATCAACTTCAGGCCCTCCAAGAATGACAACACAGGGGAAATTCCTCCTTAGGGAGGGATCCTGGACATCCTGAGATTCACGTCCTTCCTGGAGACCTTCCTAGTAACACTGCCATCATCACCTTGCCCTCCGGTGCTCCTCCCTGCAAGCCCTTGCTCAGAAGATTCTTCCCAGGACGCCCTGTGCTGCTGCTAAGGCTGGGTGGGAGCAGCGGAGGTTGGACAGGTAGAGGCCTGGCTACTGGTGGGTGGGCCATATTTGTAGGTCAGATTAGTGGTGCCAATCTCAATATGCATCTCTCTGTTCAGTATCCATAAGCTTTTAGGGAAATCTTTCTTCAATGCCCTGCTCTAGCCTTGGTTGTGCTCAGGGATTTAAGTGATATAAATTCTAAAGAGTAAAGAGTAGGCACATTAGGCGTCTCACTGAACCTGTTTCTTATGTAATCCTATAATACAATAATCATATGATTATATCCAGGAAGAGCAATGCCAACTAAAGAAAATTGTCACTTTCTAGTCAAAACTAAGGGACTTCAGGTTGTTGATGGATACAACTTAAAATATTTTAAAAATTAGCAGAAACCGGTTTAGCTCAATGGATAGAGCGTTGGCTTAAGAACTGAAAGGTCCCGGGTTCGATTCCGGTCAAGGGCATGTACCTTGGTTGCGGGCACATCCCCAGTAGGGGGTGTGCAAGAGGCAGCTGATCGATGACTCTCTCTCATCGATGTTTCTAACTATCTCTCTCCCTTCCTCTCTGTACAAAAATCAATAAAATATATATATTTTTTAAATATTTTAAAAATTTAACACTTTTATAATCAAATCCAAAATATGAAGATCTGAACAAAAAGATACAATGAACTGTACAGAATAGGTCACAGGAAAAGATGAATAAGTGGTACTTGCATATAATAGGGTTAATGTAATTGTTAAAACACCTGCAACAGAGCCATTAACTACTTAAAAGCAAATTAGGTTACCCCTGCTAAAAATAGGTACATAGGAATAGAAAGAAGCCATAAAGGTAGAGTTGCTGCTGTCACACTTTTTTTCATATCGCAAATCTAAATAAATATTTTCAAAATATAAGGAAAACAGAATAGCTCCCAATAGAGAGATTAAAAAAACAGAAATGTTCACATGGAATTAGGATTCCGGAGAAACTCTTGAATTTGTCCACAGGGAAAGAGAAACATTGTTTATATCACAATGCTAACAATAAAGGAAAAAATATGTCACTTATGGTCCATCATTTGGAAAACAGATTTTTAAAACGTGGTACTGCCTGGCCAGTGTAGCTCAGTGGGTAAGCATCAACCTATGAACCAGGAGGTGATGGTTTGATTCCTAATCAGGGCACATAACCTGGGTGGTGGGCTCAGTTGGCCGGTGCAGGGCATGCAGGAGGCAGCCAATCAATGATTCTCTCTCACCATTGATGTTTGTATAGCTCTCTCCTACTCCCTGCCTCTCTGAAATAAATAAAAATATATTTGTTAAAAAGGTGATCTGCCCTAACTGGTTTGGCTCAGTGGACAGAGTATTGGCCCTCAGACTGAAGGGTGTTGGTTTCAATTCCAGTAAAGGGCATGTACCTGGGTGGCAGGTTCCCTGGCCCTGGTCCGGGGGCGTGCAGGAGGCAACCAATCGATGTGTCTCTTGCACATCAATGTTTCTCTCTGTTTCTCCCTTTCCCTTCCACTCTCTCTAAAAATCAACGGAAAAATATCCTCGGGTGAGCATGAACAAAAAAAGAAAAAAAGGTGGTCTGAATGAGTGATCTAGATTAATACACATTAACACTGATAAATCTCAAAAACAATGTTGAATGTAAAAAGAAACCAAAAGTATGTTCAGACTCATAATCATTTATCTATGTTTTAACACACACACACACACACACACACACACACCAGTACATGTATATAAATCTATAGAACACATTAAAAAATACCGATTTAAAAATATTGATTGGACAGGTATATAATTCATAATTATAGTTGTCTCGGGGGTTGGGAATAGGACTGAGAATGAAAATACAGGATTTCTACTTTATTGAAAGTCTTATTTTCTTTACTTTTAAAAAAATGAAGAAAAATTACAAATATAACTTAATTCTCAGTGATGGTTATACCAATATTATAACTTTAAAAAATGGCAATATAATGTGCCCTTTTATTATTGTATTACTCCATGCCAATGAAATAAGGATGCAACATGACCTTTGTAAGATTAATTCATACGCATGTATATGCATAAATTTATATAAATTTGCATAAAACAAGTAGAAAATGCTTTGAGACCTTCATAGTATTATCAAAACAAGCAATTTTCTTAAACTTCAGTTACTTAAACTTCAAGTTGTAAAACCCTATTGTTATGTTTTATTTTTTAATAACTGAAGTTTTATTTTGGCATAATTTTAAATTTACAGAAATATCGGAAAGTGGGCTCGGAGTTCCTGTGTCTCCTTCACCCAGCTTCCCCTAGTCAAGGTACCTCACATAGCCAGAGTACGTTACATTTATTCTACAGACAAATGTACATACTTTATTCAGATTTCACCAGTTTTTTCACTAACGTCCTTTTTCATTCCAGTTTAAATACCTGGACTAGGTGCTTTGTTTTTAAATGAACATCAGGATGTTTTAAAATATTCTTTCCTGGGAGGTTATGAGCAGTTACATTTGACAGTGATCACATATGCCTTCTGTAATTTTATTCCTCTCATGCCTGTATTTATTTCACACATTTGCAAAGCAAAGCACTTGAGCAAGTGCACACAGTAGGTGGAAGCATATGCACACTTCAGAGCTCTAAGGCAGGGGTGGGGAAGCTTTTTTCTGTCAAGGGCCATTTGAATATTGATAACATTCACAGGCCATAGGAAATTATCAACTTAAAAATCAGCCCACTGTGTTTGGTCAAACATTTAATTATGCCACCCCTCATGCCTTGGCAGGGCCAGACCAAATGGTTTCATGGGCCTTACATGGCTCACCGGCCAGACGTTCCCCACTCAAGCTCTAAAGCATCTGCTTGTAGAAAACATACCTCTTGTCTCTTCCTTTCTTCCTGGCTAACTGTCTGAGATAATCCATTTCTTTTCACCTGGTGGGGGAGAAAAAGTGTTTTTAGTTCATTCACTTTAATGATTGTTTTATGTAAGGCATAACTTTATGACTTTAAAAGTGAATTAAGAGAAATTTATGCAAAATGATGAATTCAGTACATGTGAATTTTTGGAGTCTCATACATCCTCAAATTGCAGGGGGAAAGAGGGTAGGTGGAGGTGGAAGAAGATATTGGGGGGATAAATGGAAAACAACAAAATTAGGGGGGGGTAAGAGATCAACCAAAGAACTTGTATGTATGCATATAAGCATAATCAATGGACGCAAGACACTGTGTGTGTGTGTGGGGGGGGGAGTTAGGAGAGGCCGGGGGAAGGTCAATGGGGAAAAAAAGGAGATATATGTACTACTATTTGTAATACTTTAAACAATAAAATAAAAGTTTTTCTTAAAGAAAACAACAAATTAAATTTACAAACATTTTTAAAATATATATTTTTATTAATTTTTAGAGAGAGAAGAAGGGAGAGGGATAGAGAGATAAAAACATCAATGAGAAAGCTGCCTCCTGCATGGCCTCTTCTGGGGCTGGGGATCAAGCCTGCAACCTCGGCCTGTGTCCTGATCTTGTGTCCTGGTGAAATCTTGGATCCCGAGCCACACCAGCTGAGCTAGACCTACTTTTAAGTTCACGTCTCATATTTTCATCCTAAATTAAAGAATTGTAAAGATGTATTTTACTACTAATTGTCAATCTAGACATTTTAAATGTGTGCTGTTGTGGTCTTTTAAATGTATTCAATGGGATATAAAAGCCATAACGATCTGATATCCACCCATGATCCATTTAAAAAGTTAATAAGCTTCCCTTGGAGATTTTACCCTTGTCTTCTTTCTCCCCTGAAATCACCTTCCTACATCAATTTCCCCCCAAAATTTCCTAATGTAACCTAGTAATCCTAGGTGTTCAGGTATCTTATTAGTCATGCTACTATCCCTGAAAGCAAAACTATAATTTTAAACATAATTTTCTAAAAATCCCTGTAACTTTAGCTTTGAGAATAAAAGAGATTTTTTGTGGATTATATAACCACCACAACTATCATTAATAGCGTATGATCAAAACAACATAGTTACTTCCAATTTTAATGCACTAAGCCTTATGAGTAACATGTTCCTGAGGATGAAACTCTTAGAAAGATGGAGGGCCTTATGGTGGCTTAATTAAAAGAGGCTTCACTGAAAATATTTCACATTGACCCCCTTTTATTTTAGCCCCAGTGGTCTGACACCTTGGGGCCACGCACTGTAATAACAGCTGTGATGGACAGGAGGGATGCCTTGCTTTGGTAAAATGGCAAAAGGGCAAATGTGACTATGGGGGGAAAAAGAGGACCAACTGTAATAATCTGAACAATAAAGATTTATTTAAAAAAAAAAAAAAGGCCAATGTGAAAGGAGAGGCTGGGAGAAAAGACGTGGGTAACCCTTTAACTGCAGATGCAGCCTCAGTTTGAGAATGGAGAACTACAAGTTGAGGATCCAGAAAACCGTAAACTTCAAATGCTTCCTGTCCACCTCGCACAGTGTCCGTGAAATCCAGGGGTGTGATGCATATGGTAGGGTGAAGAAGGCTCTCTACATTGTGTTGTCATGGAAACCAAGACACCCACATGTTACTTTAATTTTTGGAAAAAGCTGGGAAGCAGTATAAAAATAGTCCCAAATCAATGTTAAAATGAGAAACCATTTACTGAACGTTTACCCTATGCCAGGAATGTGGGAAACATTTTACACCTGTTTTCCCACTGAACTCTCATAAAAACTCTAGAAAAGTTGATACTCTTCTTATCCCCATTTCACAGATGAGGATAACAACTGAGGCTGGGGATCCAAGATCACACAGCTAAATAGGGCGCCAAGCCGGAATCCGCACCCATGCCTGTCCAACTCCAGGGCTCATGCTCTTAACCACAATATCATGAGGGTTAGGGACCCCTTTCCACACCCTTCTCTAGGGTTGGGCGAGACCCCTTTAATGCCAGGTCTCTATACCAAGCCTCCATATGTTTCATTGCATCCACCATCCTGACCCAGCAAGAATTCATGCCTAAAAAGGCTCCTTCAGGCACTTACAAGGGAGGAGATGGCCAGAATGAAACTGTTCAGAGCCTCTCCCATTTGGTTAACCCTGAACAAGAATTTCACAGGATTTCCTGCCTGACACGGAGTCCTGGCAGATGGATATCCAGGCTCCTTGCCCACAATCTCTGCAGGTGAGGTCATCAGCAAGCATTTCCAGGCCATTCACATTTTCAAAAGGACTGACGAGTTCACGGACCCGGAAATCTTCAGGGGAAGAGAAGGAAACCTGCAGCTTAGAGACCTAGACAGGTGACACCTAGTTTACCGAGGGATTAAGAGGGCTTCACCTGATCATAAAAACAAAACAAATTCCCCAGCTGACGTAGTTGCTTTCTGTGGGGGGAAGAGAAGGTACTTTTAACCTAAAAGTCATCAGTTAGAAACCAACAACCTATACAAAACTGTGACACACAGAGAGAGGGGAAAAAAAAGATTCCAGGAAGCTTTATTCAGTCATAAGAAAACTGAAGTGGGATCCATGTGAGGAGCCTGAAAGTTTGCTCTGGGGAATTATGACAAACCAGTTCCTCCTGGCTGGGGGCCACACCACGGCTCCAGGGCCTGTTCTTCCATCTCAGCCCTTTAGTGCCCTCTCAGGCCGGGCGGGACAGCCTCTTCCTCCAGTGCAAGAAGAGCATTTTGTGCACCTGAGCCCCCCTTCCACATGGAAGCCTACATTAAGCAGTCCCTGAGAACAGGTGCCTGCAGGTGGACGACTGAGAGCTGATGATTTCAGGTTGGAGAAATGAAACCAGAGGAAGAGGGGGAAAAAGGGATATAAAAAGAGGGCCCCACAAAGGCTGGCAGAAGGAAGAGAAGGGAAGATGAGAGGAGAATGGAAAATAGGGGCAAATATCAAGCAGGAAAAACAAGAAAGACTGTGTGGCAAGTTTTTAATAGTAAATACCTCTGGACATTTTCAAAAACGGTGACCTTGTCAGTGAACTTAAGTAAAATCACTGTTAGGCCCAGACATTTTTTTTTTTTGGGGGGGAGGGGGGAGGGTGGGGGGGGGATGCTTAGAAAAATAAATCTGGTAAAGGATATTGTTATACCTATAGTTTAAAGTTTATATGCTTTTTGCTAAAATATTATGTTTATCACATTTCTCCTAATGTTCCCCTTGTTTCCACATGCAGAAACGAAAAATATATATATACGGTATGTAAGCTTCTAAAACTGCTATTTTGCTATCTAAAACAAAAAATTTATATTGTACAGGCTCCTTTTTCATTTTAAAAATACTGTTTCATGTTGGTAGCTCTGGCTGAGTACAAACGGAACACACAATCAAAGCAACACTTCCTTTAAAAGTCTCTTCTGACTTTCCTGGGACTTACTTACTCCTCACTGTCTTGGCCTGGTTTGAATTTTTTATTCAACTATACAATCAGTAAGGAGAACTGTGAAAATACTTTAATGAAACACTAACAATTGGATTCAATTTGGGATTCTTGAGTTTATATAATATAAGCAATTCATAAGACTGATCCGTTCTTGCTGTAGCAGGTTCTAGACTCTAAAGAGAAAGTATGAATGCAGGTCAGTATCTTCTACACTGTAAGTGGAATTCAAATAATGCAACAGAATTATAGCCCCAAGACCACAATTCTGTCCTAAGTTAACAAATATGAATATGTGTATATGGCTTAACCAGATAACAAACTCAGAGAACTCAGTAATATTATAATAGCTTTAAATTCGTAGATTTTTACTGTTGTAATTGGTATTGAAATTCTTCACCCACGATCTTTGTAATGGATACATATTCTGGGTCCAATTGAGAAGGAAATGAACAATTAGCTGAAACTAATAAAAAAAAAAAAGTACAAATACTTCATGCATGTGCAGTTAGACCCAAAATACTGAAATTTAGAAAAGAACAAACTGCCTACAGTACAGGCCCCAAAGTTAATTATTCAATGCTCTATTCAGAACTCACGCCAGTATTCTTGACAACTTGGGAGTGTGACATACTCGGATGACTCTCCTACGAAGGAACAGGGAGGCTTTCAGTAGAGAATCCTTCCTGCACTCAACCAGTTATAGGCGACTTCGCAGAACGGTGGCAGGAAACCCATAACCTTTGTGCGATATCCCTTGACTTTTCACTCCACACACTGGTACAGGTTACAAGCCAAGTTCTCTAAGGCCCAAACAGAGCCCCAATGTTGACATTTGTACATACTGAGCCTGTGTCCAGGACAGAGCAGATTCTGTGCAGGAGCCAAAATTAGCAATCCCAGTCTCTCGGTCAACCAGATCACCATTTCTATGGGGTGAATGAGATATGTTCTCGGGCCCCCCAAGACTTGATGCTGTTTGTCAGTTAAGACGAGTGCACATTCCTCCTATTTTCCCCCACCAGCCAGGGAAGCCAGATGGAAGGGTCGCAAAAGACTGACTGTCAGAGATGGACAGTGAAAAAGTAGATCAGAAATTTATGATCCAAGATCACTCGGGCTCCATAGAACACAAATGTAGGTTGAATACCCATCTGATTTGAGATCTTTATACTTGGCCAGAGTTGCCCCACTTGCTGAAAATCAGCTGATTATTCCTGCCTCTTAGTGATTCCCTATTCACCAGCTTCTGTTCTTAAAACCTCACGTGGGAAGGGAATGAATTGCAAAGCAGAATTAAACCACAGGGCACAATCTCTCTCGGGTCTTTTCTACAAACTTAACACAACCCAAATAGCCCCTGAATTACAAATGAGCTACAGTTCTTTCATGGTAAGTAGCATGGGAACAGCATCTCTTTGAGAGTATGTTTGAGATTTTTCCTAAACCGAAAAATCTGCCAGGGTCTAGGGATCATGTCCATAGCCAAGCCCCTGAAAGCTTTCTCCAGACCCACATTACCTATGGAGAAAGGTCTGAGCTGCCACTT